AAACTACTTGGATATATATATTTATCTATCCAATCCCCTTTTGAACGAATTTCTCAGTATTATCCGAAGCAAGCAACCCACTTTTCCTCCAAGTCCTGGTAAAACGTTGGTAATAGGTAACTTTTCCTACAATTTCAGATTCTGCCAGTGATCGATGCTGTTAAAATAAACAAGAGAAACTTACAAAGAAGTTCTAACCCCTGAAGGAGTTGTCTGATGTACTTGTTTCAATATATGAATTTGTAGGTCCTGAACTTGCTTGCGGCTAGTCTAGATATAGGGTTATTTTCTCCCGAAGAAATGGTTCCGTCTTTTTTTAAAAAGTGGCTCTAAGTTAAGTTTCCTAACCAACCAAGGACTTCGATCACATCTGTGTAGTTTTAGGTCTCCGCGATTAGTAAAGTACTAGCTTGTGCTGAACTAGAAGTTCAGTTTTGCTGAAACTGCAGTTTTGAGAAATGAATAAAGTTTATTATTATTACATCTTTAGTAGAGCCGATACTAAAAAATGTTAGTTATTCGGGAAGAGAATTTAAAAAAATGGAAATGACCTAAATTATCCCTAGAATGGTTGATTCGTTTTTTTTAAAATAAACTCTTTTGGCTCTTCCTGATAGATTTCTATGTCCAAAATTTCCGTGCAGAAAATGCTTTCGCTTGCAAAAATCAATTCTGCCATCTTATGTCATCGTTCTTATTTGCGCAGGACTCGTTCAAGAACGAACTTCAACCTTACTACTCTGCCGCCCAGAAATTTTGTAACGCGCAGTACACGACCCACCACCAGCCACCCCACAGCGCTAGTTTTTTCTCGAAAAACCCTTCCACGCAGTTCTCCATGGTCGACATTTTAACGCTTTTTTCATTTGTTTTACTTGAAAAAGGGAAGATAACTCCAGATAATTCAAAACAATATCGGGGTGTTAGTAAAAATTTCGATGGATATCTTCCACAACTCCAAATTTGGGTTTATAAATTTAATAAGATCATTTTGGATTGTTGTTTTTTTATTCGGAAAAACATTAATATACTACCACTTATGTATATAAAGTTTGATTAAATCCTATTTTATCGGTTTAATATTGTAGCTAGAGATTTAATTTACTCTTGTAAATATTGGTTTTTCTGTTATTAAAACTGAGCTCAATGTCATTTTTTTAAATATTAAAAAGGATTAATTGTTCATTTTCCTGATCAATTGAAATAGCATTTTGTTGAAGGGTTTGACACCCAATCCAGATTACGACGTTAATTTTTTGTATAGGAAGAAATATCTGAGAACCGACGAGAGATACCCTTGAAGCGAAGGTCTGTGGATAGAATCCACAATCACAGCAGTCAGCATGTCTCTTTCTACCAATATGGTTATAGAGAAACGAAAGTGTTGAACATGTTTCCTGCATTGGTTTTTTTAATCATGAAGGCATTTGAAAACTGGTCAACAGAGATGTTCGATTATTCTTTATTGACGAAATATCCCAAAATTTATAGATATATGTATATATACATTAGTGGAGTCCAAATACTAAAATTGCCCATTACATATATATATCCGATATCAAACTTTTTCAAATAATGAAATTTGGTCCTCCAAAGTGAGAGAATGACAAGAAAAGACAAACGAACTAGTAAGAGTCCAATCAATATCGCTTTCCCGAGAAAGTATAATTTTCTATTTCGGGTATAACTTTAATTTAAAATCATGGCTTGTTTCATTTTTATTCGTCTGCTTTCACTACACTGTTACAAACAGTTGCTTTGCCATGCTTTGGCTTTAAGTAATTTTTTTAATACCTCGACAATGTCTAATTCTGCATGTATTTCCCGATCAGTCCCATCTAATTACGATGACTCTTTTCTACAGCAAAGTACTTTTTTGATCAAAACCTTGAATCTAGAACTTTGAAAGCTAAATAGATACGGGTCCAGAGCAGCGTTAACAGACGCGAGCAATAATGTGACAAGTATTGGAGTTCTGGATGTGAATCCATCTATTATATAATATAAATAAGAAGGAAACCAACACACGATGAATGTGACAACTACAGCAAGAACACACCAAGTGACTTTCTTTTTCTTCTTGTTGTCGGCGATATCTCGTTCTCCTGTAGGTTCGACTGTCTGCTTGCACCAGAGGGACATGCATATCTTGGTCAGGAGAAACACCATCAAAATTAAAAAACATACTGATTCTATCAGAATAAAGATAGAATGACCTGGAATGTTCATGTCGCAAGCAAAACTTTCTCTGCTGAAATGGGTAAAAACAAATGTCGGGGACGCAACAACAACAGCATATATCCAGGACACCATAACGAGCACTTTGACGATCTTCGGCGAGAAACGCTGACGGAAGTTGTGAGGACGACAAACAGCAAAGTATCGTTCAACTGATAAACAAACCATAGTGAAAATAGAAGCGCTGGACGCCATCCATGCGATGTTACAAAATAACAGCAGTTTACACAGCCACTCACCAAGAACTCCATCTGGCACGGAATGACGAAAGAAAGGTTGGATTATGAATTTAGGAGTAAGAAAAACACCACATAAAATATCTGCAACAGCTAAGTTTAACAGCAGATAGTTTGTGGAGGTTTTCATTCCTCGTCCATTGGTGATGATGTAAATAACGAGAGAATTTCCTGCTATATTGAAGACCAGAACTACAGAAAACAGGACAGCAAAAACGATTTCTTGGAATGTCATTGCTGACATCTTTACACTGAGCAGTGACCAAGCATCAGTTGATGCTACAGCTTTGTTCCACCTGTTAAGTAACCTCTGGCATAATAAAGCAAGTGCGTGTAAGATTCCATYTACTACGTTAATTAAATATAAACTTATTCATTCTTGTAAACATTTTGATTTCATTCTTTCGGCTGATATGAAACACGGTGTTGGAAGCTGTGACATTGAATAATATAGTTGGGTGTTCACTTCACCATATAGTTATTAATAAAAATAAACTTATTCATTCTTGTAAATATTTGGTTTTCATTTCTTAGGTTGCGATGAAACACAGTATTTGAAGCTGTGAATTTGAAGCATTGAATGATAGGCGATTGTTTAGTCCCAAACTAATAAGCGAACTAGTCATCTCACGCTATCAGTGGACCGACAGTTCATAAGATGTTTTGGGCCATGGCTACTGAAGTCTCTTTATTAATTTTTATAAGATTACTTTTATGTGTACACTCAGTCACAACTCATGATTAATAACATGAAAAGGATATTTTAGTATAAGGGTGAGTACGTAATATATTGAAAGTTTTTTGGTCATTTTTCACCATTGTGAATGTCCTCCTGTCCAGCTAAACGGTGAATCTCGTTTCAACTAGCCCAATTTTTGCGTATTTTTCTGTTTACTTTTGGCTAAATATAATATACGTAACGAAAAGAAGCAGAAATATGGAAAGGAAGAATAAAAACAAATTTACTTTACCGCCATGTTTGCTTCGTTCTTTCAAGTTCCAAAAGTGCTTAGGGCAGGTCATTTTGTTCACTCGTGCTTTTACGCTTAGCGTTCGGCACAATTCACTTCACTACATATATTGGGTTTTGTGCTGTTTGAGAATCTTTCGGCTCTCAGCTCCTAGTGAGGGTTATTGTGAATTTTGGCGGCCTAGTCCCTATCCCCACCAGTTTTATTTAGATCTTTTTTGTTGTTTGAAATAACATATTCCTTTGCTCTGATGATATTCTTCCCTGTGAAAATATACATGTCCCTCTAGTGTAAGTAGACAGTCGAACCTACAGTAGAACGAGAAGTCTTCGAGAGAAAGAAGAAAAAGAAAGTGACATTGTGTGTTCTTGCTGTGGTCATCACGTTTGCCGTCTGCTAGATTCCAGCAACCGATTCCTATATCATATATGGATTATCGAACGCGTATCGAAGCTGTCGATATTGCAACAATATTGCTTGCGTGCCCTTTACCCGTATCTATTCAGCTTTCAAAGTTCTAGATTTAAAGTTTTGGTCAAAAAGGTACTTTGCTGTAGAAAGGACTGAGTCATCGTAATTGGATGACACTGATCGGGAAATAAAAGCAGAATTAAGAGCGAATGTCTGTAAAAATCAAACAAAATCAGAAATATGTGGAAAGGCTCAAATTTTCGAATTCGCTCTACTTTTGGATTTTAGTAGTGTATGATGAAGTACGAAACGCTGTGTGGTTAGTTTTGGAAAATATTTTTTTGTCTTCGAGAAAAAGGGAAAAATCGGTTTGAGCTCCAGGGACGATTTTCGCTGCCAAAAGATGGCTGAAAATTGCTTACTTTCGCTTGG